AGGAGGAGGGAGATGTCTAGGCTGGCATGTGCATACAGTGAGACAACGAATTTGACTGGATCTGTACTGTTGGAACTCAACCAGGAGTTGGGAGGGGTGCAAGTTGTAGCACCCCAAAATCTCATGACTATAGACTATCTATGGTTAAAAGAACATATGGGATGTGAACAGATCCCAGAAATGGGCTGCTTTAATTTGTCTGATGGTTCAAGTACAGTTGGAAAATATCCATCATATCATAGATAAATTTTCACAAATGCCTAGGGTGCCTAAATGGTTTTCTTGGCTTCACTGGAGATGGCTGGTAATTATAGATTTGCTTTGTTTATGTCACCGTATTCCTATTATGTTAATATGTGTGTGCAAATTAGTTAGTAGTTTAAAACCTATACATACTTAAGGTACTATACAAGAAGATATGTCAAAGAAATAATCAATCCTCCCAAGTTTCCTTCATATGCTACATCTATAGCTTTTCTTCTTCCTTCCTAATTACAAACCTTAAATAGAATTCGTGCCTCATATCGAATTTACCGAGTATCATAATTCCTCCAGGTGGTAAAGATACCTCGAGACAAGTGCTGGGCATAGAAGCCACAGGGCATAAATCTGCAAAGAAGTAAAAAGCTAACCTTTGCAAACAATATGGCTTCTCTCTCACTTACCAACTTTACATTTCCCTGTATGGCCCCGGAAGATGACTGGTTAGCCAGAGACGGGTAAGATTCCTCAAGGGAGGAACAACCTAAGACAGGCACAGTCGCAGGGGGGCCATCAGGTGAGAATTTGGGGATCAACAGAGGTGAGGCTCAGAACCTCACCCCCCCTGCTTTGAGAGAAATCTTCTGCATCCGTGGATGTCTTGCTGCCCTTGTCTAGCCTGGATTAATACTTAGTCCATAGGCACACACCTGATCATCTGATCATCTACATTTGCCTTCTTACAGCACTAAACTATGTTTTCTACCTTTATCTTGCATCTACCTACCACTTCAGCATTTTATTAAAAATAAAAATAATAATAATAATAGGAGAAATGTGGGATCAACATATAAATCAAGTACAAAAATCAAATGAATATTCATATTTGACCTGATTGTTTATAGGTCATATTGCATGATCAAAACCGAAAGTTTCTGTGATGAATGCCCTTGTACTGTTCACCATGTAAGAATTTATTCACTATGTAAGAATTCGTTCACCATGTAAGAACTTGTTCGTTATGCTTCAGAAGATTGGAGACTGACGAGAATTAGACTTGAGATGGATTAATGATTGTACATTGAGCATTGACCCCCCTATACTGAATTTTATTGTTGTTAACAACCATTTGATCAATAAATATGAGAGATGCCCTCTCAAAAAAAATAAAATAAAAAGTGTCTTCCCTTATTTTTCTTCAGTATGCAGCAGAGCTTACGCATATTTCCCATACAGATCTATTAAAAAGCATGTATTCACAGGTCAAGACTTAATAAAACTAGTAATTATCATTTTTATGGCTCCACCAAGGACACTCAAAGTTTGAAATCAGCAGTTTTTTTTTTACTGTTGAGTGGACTGCAGTAAAGAATATGACTACTAAAAGTTTTGTGTCATGCCCTTGGATTTGTGCTGTTTTACCCAGTATTGCACTTGCACCATTAATGCAAATATTAACACAATGAAAAAGGCAAATAATGTCTGAAGTATGAAAATAGTTTTGGAGTAACACAAGGATCTCTGGGATTCTCCACAGGGGTCCACAGAGTATATTTTAATAAGTGCTGTCTCAGAGAACTTAAGGGAGTACCTACTACTTACTAGCTAAGTAATCATGGGCAATTCACTAAACTTTTTTAATGAGCTGTATAAAAAGAATGATAATAACTGCCCCCCCCAAGAGTTGCCCATCAAGATAAAGAAATGTGAAAATATTTTGTACACTGTGTAGCATAAGATCTTTTTTAATACTTACAATGAATGTTTACTTAGAATGTACTTATAAATGTACATGTAACAGCTTTTTTAATACTTCTAATGAATGACATAAGAATTTTAGCTGGATACCAGACTTCCTTAACAACCTGATGGTGAGCAAACTTTATATATTTTTGCTTCCACTGCTTCTCTTACACTTCTATCTTAATCCAGACTCTTACAATCATAGATGCAAGACTTACTAATTATAAATGTTGCTCTCAGCTGAACATATCTGTTTTTATCATATCTCCATCTCACCCTGACGTAACTTGTCTAGGGTTTCCCTTGAATCTTATTTTACTATGTTCTTTTGTTTCAGCTGAATAAAGTCTGATTGCATTGATCTATTTCTCTCCCCTGTCAGAACTGGCCTCTCTGCTTCTACTTACTGAAAAACCATCCCTATCCTTAAAAGTCCAGTCAAGTCAATCTTTTATGGCTACTCAGACAGGATAATCTTACTTCCCTGAATATCTATCACTCAATACCTTAATGTTACCTAATTATTTTCTCTTGTGCTAACCTTTTTAAAATTAGACTGCAATTTCTCTGAGGGTAAGTACATCTTACATTTTTTTTATTTCCCCCTTCAGCATCTAGCAGCACAGTGCATTCGGCCTGGCTGACGGCTTATGTGTACTCTACTAGAGACTATCATCAATAAAGCACTGACTTTCATATCAAAATAAAGATCTAGAAAACTATGGTAGTTTATAAACCCAAGATCTGTAACTGTTGTCATATACAGTTTTTAGACAGTTTTTCCTATAAGGCTTATGCAAGTGACAGGGCAAGGTATTCAGTATCACAGCTTAGAGTGCACTTATTCTATGGGCAAATTATACTTCTCAAAGTGCCCAAGATGTGGTTCTAAGAGGAAAGCAAATACACAGTAATGTGTATTAAGGTGCATAAGTAGATTTAAGATATGCTTATTTACAAAGAAAGATAAGAAGTCTTAAAAAAACCCATATATTTAAAACATAGACAGTGCAGTAAGCATAAAAAATAAACTGAAATGAGTCATTCGTACTGAGCCAAATTAAAAAGCAAGTTAAATTCAAGATGCAGGATGGCAAAAACAAACACTAGCTATAAATTGTAACATTTATTACTAAGCAAAAAGTCTTAACAAATAGGCAACAAACCAAAGGCAGAGGCTTTGTTCTGAAAACAAAAAACAAAAAACAAAAACGGCAGCAACTGAAAGGATGAACTGTCAAGTGATGCAAAAGAACATGGGCTTTGGCATCAGAATGAATTGGATTCAAATTCTAATCCACGAACTATAAAATTAGTGAAATCACAAAACCCTTTTATTCAGAAACATTTCAGGGCCCTTATCTATAAAATGGGGCTATTATTAACTGCCTGGCTGAATTTTTAAGAGGATCTGAAATAATACAGAATAGTAAACAGCGCAGACTTTGAAGTCAGATGGGTGTGAGTTAGAACTGACTGTCCTTTACTAGCTTAGGTAACTTATGCTTCAGGTTTCTTATTTGTAAGATAGGTATAATACCACCTCCTCAGCATTCTCGTGAGGATATAGCAACGTGTATGAATACCCTATGAAAACTTAAAATACAACCAGTGAGTGCTCATTAAGTGTCCCTACTATATATATATTCATACATATATACATACTTCACTTTGCCCAGTACCTGCCTGCCATATTATAGATACTTAGCAAATGTAAACTATTATATTTCCTATTATAAGAAACTTCAAAAAGACTATAAACTGTAAATTGTGATTTAACACCTGATACACCCAATATATACATGATTAATTAATCAGAGATGAATGGTAGTTCATCAATATTCCAACTACAAATTTTTCAGGATAACTCAAGGAGTAGAAGCGTAAGTAAGTATAAAATGCTCACTAGAAAGCCCAGAAATAAGGCAACACTAGATGGAAGAAGTACAAATCTATATTAGACATATAAACTATTTACAGTATAAATTTACAACCCCTAAATTGTATACTTACTTGTTAATAAAAATCATTTATCTTTTTTCTGCCTGTCAGACATAAATTTAACTCTTTCCCACAACTATCCTTCATTTTAAGCCATTCTACCTGCAGATGTTTTGGCCCTAGGCCAATTTCATTGGGTTACAGTGGGAGAGAATTACACCAATTCTTTAAAAACAGTTTGAAATTGCAGGCATTAAGAAACTGTAGCAACCATTTCACATCACTACTCTATGGGGCTGGAGGTGCTGCACCCTGGTTCCTGGAAACCACTTACCTACCTATAGTTGTTTTTGTCTGTTTTTTCCTGTAAAGGAGTTATGCGTGTACAGGGTTAAAAAAAAAAGGGGGGTGTGGGGGAGTAGCAGGTAGAACACTTAATATAATAAAACAAAGGAAAAGTCCTTTCTAACAATAGCAGAGGTACTACAGTTAAGTTTCTTGTACATTTTGCCTTCTTACAAACAAATTCAGTCAAAAATGGGTCCAGTTCTACAGAACACTGGCAACTGGAAAATGAATGAAATCCCAGGAATGTACCATTTATGGGATATGAAAACTTAAAAGATTAATAATAATCTGTGTATGGAACATTTTTCATTAAAGTCAACTTGTGTCTACTAAGTAGATGATTATGTCTCCTTCACAAGAAAAATCTATTTTTTAATACTTACTATCATAGTACAATTTTGGTAAGCTTTTTATGCCAAAATGCACTGTTAACAAAGTTAACACAATTCTCTTTTCAAATAAGAGGTGTGTCACATATCCATCCGGAAACCTTACTCATATAAAAGATGTTCAAGTCATGAGTAAGTTGTTTTGGCATGATGAATATTTAATAATGCCACAATGTTTAAATCCCTCTGCCCGCAAGCAAACTAAAAAATTTACCTAAACTGTCACCACCCATCTATCTGCTACGATAAATTCAGATTTCCTTAAATGGGGGCTATATATATGTACAATTCTGTGAAACTTTTAGAAAAGCATCATTTTTATATGCCACTTTCTTTATTAAGAGCTTTGCACAGAATTTTGTAGGCTCCCAAATTTACCTTTTCATTTTTCTTGTCTGTCTCTAATGGCTGCTTTATTGTTACACTTCGAGAATTTCGGACTTCTTCCTCAGCCACTTCAACAGTCCGCCCGTTTGGCTGCAGAGGCAACAAAAAAGAATCTTGTTATCAAAGTGTTTCACAGATTGAACCAAAGATTTGTACTCAAGAAACAGAATATACTACAGTCACCTTCTACTTTCTGACCCATATTAAAAAGGTTTTTATATAGTCAAGTTACCTAAGACTTGATGGACTATTGTTCTTAATAACTGTTTTGAAATAAATAATGAACTTATAAACTAACTTTTATTTCACAAATGTATTTTCTGATCTCACCCAGGTATCAGTCTCTCCAAAAAAATAATGGAATGGAAGCAAGGAAACTCAACTGTATTTACACTTTGACCTATTACTTGTGTAATCTCAAAATATTTCATTATCTTTGAGTATTATTTCTACATCTGTAAATGATAGGTCTGATCTATTCAAATGCCATCTATTCAAATGCCAGCAAACTTTTTTGGCAAAGGGGCAGACAGAACATATTTTAGGCTTTGTGGACCAATGGTCTCTGCTGCAATTACAAAACTCTATTATAGCACAAAAGTAGCCACAGATGACACAAAAATGAAAGTGAGATTGAATTTTAATAAACCTTTATTTGTAAATACAGGAAGAAGGGCAGATTTGGTCCATGGGCCAGTTTGTTGGCCTCTATATTAGAAAATCTTTAATATCCCTTGTAACTCCATAATATAATCTAATAGTTCTACTCTTCTGGTATTAAGAAGCTTTACCAACCCACTACTACATGTTGAAAAAGCTACTTCAGCTTTCCTACCACTCTTAAAATAAAATGATAGTACTTAGAGGTATTTATGGGTAGAATTAGTCTGTGAATTCCAAATCTGGCTTTTAATCAGAAGCACTGGTTTTGTTTTGTTTTTTTAAAATATAAACATTTCTGAGTCCTATCACCAGAAATGCATTCAGATTCAGGAGTCTGAAGAATGGAGCCTAGGACTCTTTATTCTAACCTCTTCTTTCTAGGATCTACAATTTCTTTCACTTGCCCATTCTCATATCAACACAAGGTAATAAATCAATATATTAGTTTCAATTGCTTTATTTCCAGTTCTTACAGAATAGACTTTCACCAGATTACTCATTATAGAAGAGCTATAATCAAGAAAACAGTATGAAATGTTCAAAGTTTCTATAATATAACTTCACCTGCATCTGTTCAGAATTATCAGGGACATGAAGCTATAAAAAGAATTAATTTTCTAAAACCTACTTGTAGGCTTTCCTAAGATTTCATGGCAGAAAAAAACAAAAGCTATCTTTTAGCTGATTAAATTCCTAACTAATCCAATTTGATCTGCTGTATCTTAACCAACTTGTTAAAGTCAGACAGCTAATTGCCAAAACCAGGTCTCCCCAGCTTTATTCTTGTTTCCTTTCTTTGTTATTTTGCCACTTGAAGGCTGCCTCTTCTGATCTCTCTCCATGTCTATGTAGTGTGTGTGGGGGGAGGGGAGCAGGGATGGAAGAGGGGGGAAGAGAGGTGGGGGTGGGTGGGGTGGCAGTAAAGTAACCCCAGAAAGGAATTTGGACTTAAGAGCTATATTCACATTGGGAATATAAAACTTTAAATCTGATTTCCAAAAAAGCCACCATTCACTTGTCAATTGTTTTAATTATTTTATTGTTTGTTTGTTTATTTATTTACCTACCTACTTAGGTACTTACTTACTTATTATTTTGATATCGTTAATATACATTTACTTGAACATTATGGTTACTAAACTTCCCCTATTATCAAGTTGCCCCCACATACCCCATTACAGTCACTGTCCATCAGTGCAGTAAACATTACTTGTCCTCTCTGAATATACTGGCTTTCCCGTGTTCCCCCATGCCCCGCTACATTATGTGCGCTAATTGTAATGTCCCTTTTTCCCTCTTACCCCTCCCTTCCTACCCATCCTCCATAGTCCCATTCCCTTTGGTAACTGTTAGTCCATTCTTGGGTTCTGTGAGTCTGTTGCTGTTTTGTTCCTTCAGTTTTGCTTTGTTCTTTTGCTCCACAGATGAGTGAAACCATTTGAGATTTGTTTTTATCTGCCTGCCTTATTTCACTGATCATAATACCCTCTAGCTCCATCCATGTTGTTGCAAGTGGTAGGATTTGTTTTTCTTCTTATGGCTGAATAATATTCTATTGTGTATATGTACCACCTCATCTTTATCCATTCATCCACTGCTGGACACAAGTTGCTTCCATTTCTTGGCTATTGTAAATAGTGCTGCGATAAACGTATGGGTGCATATGTCTTTTTCAAACTGGCATGCAGCATTCTTAGGGTAAATTCCTAGTAGTGGAATTCCTGGGTCAAATGGTATTTCTATTTTTAGTTTTTTGAGAAACCTCCATACTGCTTTCCACAATGGTTGAACTATTTCACATTCCAACCAGCAGTGTAGGAGGGTTCATCTTTCTCTACATCCTCCCCAGCATTTGTTGTTGTCTGTCTTTTGGATATTGGCCATCCTAATAAGTGTGAGGTGATATCTCATTGTAGTTTTAATTTGTATTTCTCTGATGATTAGCGATGTGGAGCATCTTTTCATGTGCCTGTTGATCATCTGAATTTCTTCTTTGGAGAAGTGTCTGTTCAGCTCCTCTACTCATTTTTTAATTGGCTTATTTACTTTTTGTTTGTTGAGGGGCGAGAGCTCTTTATATAATTTGGATGTCAACCCCTTATTGGATTATGTCATTTATGAATATATTCTCCCATACTGTAGGATATCTTTTTGTTCTACTGATGGTGTCCTTTGCTGTACAGAAACTTTTTAGTTTGATACAGTCCCACTTGTTCATTTTTCCTTTTGTTTACCTTTCCCGGGAAGATAAGTTCATGAAGAACTTGCTCATGTTTCTGTCCAAGAGTTTTATGCCTATATTTTTTTCTAAGAGTTTTATGATTTCATGACTTACATTCAGGTCTTTGATCCATTTTGAGTTTACTTTTGTGTATGGGGTTAGACAATAATCCAGTTTCATTCTCTTATATGTAGCTCTCCAGTTTTGCCAACACCAGCTGTTGAAGAGGCTGTCATTTCCACATTGTATATCCATGGCTCCTTTATCACACATTAATTGACCATATATGCTTGGTTTTTTATCTGGGCTCTCTATTCTGTTCCACTGGTCTATGGGTCTGTTCTTGTGCCAGTACCAAACTATCTTGATTGCTGTAGTTTTGCAGTAGAGTTTGAAGTCAGGGAGCATAATTCCCCCTGCTTTATTCTTCCATCTCAGGATTGCTTCAGCTATTCGGCTCCTTTATTGTTCCATATGAATTTTAGAACTATTTGTTCTAGTTCACTGAAGAATGCTGTAGGTATTTTGATAGGGATTGCATTGAATCTGTAGATTGCTTTAGGCAGGATGGCCATTTTGACAGTTCTTCCTAGCCAAGAGCATGGGATGAATTTCCATTTATTAGTGTCCTCTTTAATTTCTCTTAAGAGTGTCTTGTAGTTTTCAGGGTATACGTCTTTCACTTTCTTCATTAGGTTTATTCCTAGGTATTTTATTCTTTTGGATGCAATTGTGAATGAAATTATTTTCCTGATTTCTCTTTCTGCTAGTTCATCATTAGTGTATAGGAATGCAACAGATTTCTAAGTATTAATTTTGTGTCCTGCAACTTTGCTGAATTCAGATATTTGATCTAGTAGTTTTGGAGTGGATTCATTACAGTTTTTTATGTACAATATCATGTCATCTGCAAACTGGGACAGTTTGACTTCTTCCTTGCCTATCTGGATGCCTTTTATTTCTTTGTGTTGTCTGATTGCTGTGGCTAGGATCTCCAGAACTATGTTGAATAAAAGTGGGGAGAGTGGGCATCCTAGTCATGTGCCCGATCTTAAAGGAAAAGCTTTCAGGTTCTTGCTATTAAGTATAACATTGGCTGTGGGTTTGTCATATATGGCCTTTAGTATGTTGAGGTTCTTGGCCTCTATATCCATTTACCTATTTTGTTTGCAGTATTTGTCATGAATGGATGTTGAATTTTGTCAAATGCTTTTTCAGCAGCTATGGAGATGATCATATGATTTTTGCCCCTCTTTTTGTTGATGTGGTGGATGATGCTGATGGATTTTCGAATGTTGTACCATTTTTGCATCGCTGGGATGAATCCCACTTGATCATGATTGATGATCTTTTTGATGTATTTTTGAATTCAGTTTGCTAATATTTTGTTGAGTATTTTTGCATCTATGTTCATCAGGGATATTGGCCAGTAATTTTCTTTTTTTGTGGTGTCTTTGCATAGTTTTGGTATTAGAGTGATGTTGGCCTCATAGAATGAGTTTGGGAGTATCCCCTCCTCTTCTACTTTTTGGAAAACTTTAAGGAGGATGGGTATTAGGTCTTCACTAAATGTTTGATAAAATTCAGCAGTGAAACCATCTGGTACAGGGGTTTTGTTCTTAGGTAGTTTTTTTGATTACCAATTCAATTTCTTTGCTGCTAATTGGTCTATACAGATTTTCTGTTTCTTCCTGGATCAACCTTGGAAGATTGTATTTTTCTAGGAAGCTGTCCATTTCTTCTAGGTTTTTCAGTTTGTTACCATATAATTTTTCATAGCATTCTCTCATAATTCTTTGTATTTCTGTGGTGTCTGTAGTGGTTTTTCCTTTCTCATTTTTGATTCTGTTTATGTGTGTAGGCTCTCTTTTTTTCTTGGTTAAGTCTGGCTCAGGCTTTATTTTGTATATTTTCTCAAAGAACCAGCTCTTGCTTTCATTGATTCTTTCTATTGTTTTATTCTTCTCAATTTTACTTATTTCTGCTTTAATCTTTATTATGTCCCTCCTTCTACTCACTTTGGGGCTCAGTGGTTCTTCCTTTTCTAGTCATTAGTTGTGAGTTTAGACTCTTCATTTAGGATTGTTCTTTCCTGAGGTACACCCGTGTTGCAATATATTTCCCTCTTAGCATGGCCTTTGCTGAGTCCCACATATTTTGTGTTGTTCAATTGTTGTTGTCATTTGTCTCCATATAATGCTTGATC